TCTTGTATTAATGTCTGGTCTTCTACCAAATTCAAAACTCGAAACCTCTGTTCTTTCCATATGGTGCGATTCATATTTGATCTCTAAACGTTATGATTATTATTGATTTCCGTAGCTGCAGTTCCAATTACATCTATTTGTTTCTGGCGTGCAGCCTTTCAAGCACATCATTGCATTACAACATACCATTTGGGATCAGCGTAGCTGCAAGGTTTGATCTATGCCATTTCTATTAGTTCACTCACTCTCTACATAAATGAGCTATGTCTCCCCTGCTATATATGAATACTTTATTCGGGTTTTACTTGGTATAGAAGATGGAAAACCCAGAAGGAGAGAAAAGGAAAAAAATCACATTAAATATCAATTAAGGTGGTTGGCAGGAAAGATGCAAAACTGAGCTTTTAAATATTATTTCAAACCATTGGTAGGTTAGTTAAGTTGAAAGGCTATACTGAAAGAAAGAAAACAATGAGGCTTGAATGATTTTATAGAACAATTCTGTATCAAAGGACAGAAGTATGAGTAAACTTAATCTTACCTCTTTTCCTCTAACCTTGTCCATCCACTCACTTTTCTGTCTTACTAAGAAACTGTTAATAACATTGATGTGCTGAAAATTTTCCATCGTTCCTCTATTTTACAGTACACGAATTTCAAATGAATTAGGAGCTGGAAATCCACGGACAGCTCAAATAAATTCATTCATTGTAGTGGCTTTAACGGTGGTGGAAACAGTCATAGCCAGCACAATACTTTTCTGTTGCCGCCATGTTTTCGGATATGCTTACAGCAATGAAAAGGATGTTGTAAATAAAGTCACAGAAGTAGTTCCCCTGATGTGCCTTTCAATTATTACGGATGGTTTACATGCAATAGCTTGCGGTCAGTGTCCAACCATTCTTGTTCTTGAACATCTCACATGGTTTACATTTACTTGGTCACTTGAAGATAAAATATTGAAGAAATTTTGAACTGCTCCAGTAATAATAATGCTAATTTGATATTTGCCCCAGGGATCGTCAGAGGAATTGGCTGGCAACATATTGGAGCCTATGCTAATCTTGCGGCATATTATCTCATTGGAATTCCTGCAGGGGTTTTATGTGGTTTTGTTTTGCACTTAAGGGGACAAGGACTCTGGGTTGGAATGTTGACAGGGTCTAGCGTACAAGGGATTCTTCTCGCTTTTGTGATCGCTTTTACAAATTGGAAGAAACAGGTTCTTCTTCGGAGCTTTTGCTTCTAGGGAAAATATTTCAATTGCTCAAAAATGAATTATACTTAGGCATGGTTACTTGATTTAAATCTGTATGTGTTTATGCAGGCAATCGGGGCAAGGGAGAGAATATTCCAGGGAACATATGCTGAGAGTGGATTGTACTGAAGAAGCTATAAAGTAGGCTTGGGCTGAGAGAGGTGAGCGCTGAGGGATACTTGCACCATTCCAGTCCAAACAATTCATGTCATTTTACCTAAGGCAACCATTTGTGCCATTTTTCTGATATATTAAAAAAGCAATCTATCCTGGTCCCGGAATGCAGAGAATCTGCTTCAATTGCAAGCAGACTTTTTGGCTACTCCCCTGCTTGTTGATTTCTCGAAATGATTACGCTATCCCTTAAAATCATTGTAGTGGCAATTGGCATTTGCAAATCATGTCTGTCTACATTTTTCACATGATGACGCCATGCAACTAAATAAGGATCAAAGAAAAATAGTTGCAAATCATGTCTGTCTACCAAAAAAAAAAATTTCTAAGTTCTACCAGCAGACTACCCCAGCCACAATCAAAGAGAAATCAAAAAGAGCATAAAGAAAATTCACAAAAGGGGAAAGATTTAGGAAATCGGTTTTCAAAGTAGCTGGATAGAGGGGTTTTGAGTTTGGAGCCACCGGTTGAGAGGAAAGAAGGTGAGATTTTGGTTTCTTTTTAGAGAGAAGATGGAGGAGCTGTGGGGTTCAGAGAGACAGAGGTAGCAAAGCGAGATAAAACCTTGGGGAAGAGAGAAGGGAGAGAACCGGCTGCAGAGGGAAAAACGAAAGGGGAATGGGCAAATGAATGAAGGCAAAAGAAAATAGCTATATAGCTAAAGTTGGATACCTTAAAACGGTGGCATTTTCGTAAAGGGTCGGGAGACAAAGGGCTGGAAGAAGTGACACCGTGTTTGGCAAGAGCAGACTTGTCTTCACTGCACCATACGGTGCGTTTCAGGAGGCTTGGGCCTCTAGAATTGGAGCAGACTGGTGCTGCCCCTTGGAGCTAGACTAAGGTTGTAACTCACTTGGAAAGATTAGTTTTTGAACATTTGGTTGAAGCCCATCAAACCAAAGGTCTTTGGGCTTATTTTGGCCCGTTAGGTAATAGACCTTTTCCTTGGATGTTGATTTGATTTATTCTTAGGCTTGGCATTTTCTGGTTTGCACGTTTATGATTTTTCTTTGTTTAGAAATTATGCAATAGTTGTCATTTTCTTAATATATTTACATATATGTGTTATAAGCACAAGATAGAACCGTTAATCATACGAAATATCATGAGTCATAAAATATAGGCCAGGTAAGATAATAATAACAATAATAAAATACATAACCACATAGAAAGGAATTAAGTAAGTAGATGAGAAAATATATCTAATAAAAATAAGTTAAGCATATAATAGAAATAAAATGATAATACAAACTTCTCTATATATAAAAACAAATAAAAAACATGACATAGTATAAAACCATAAATATAAAAATATAATGATTATCTTAGGATCAATATTGATGATGAAATGTTCATCCGAAGTGCGAAAGTCACGATTCCGAATGAACTTTTTTAGGTAAGGGAATTCGATTAAGACCCTACCAGTATGATATAAAGGTTTTAATTGTAAATCCTGATATTTCTAATTTTACATAAATAATGTATATATTAGCCTAGTTACTAAGCAAATAAAAATACAAAAATAAAAGTACTGAAATAATGAAATAATAAATAATCATAGCGATAATTTCAAAAGAATAAGTGGTATACATATACTTATGGTTTCAAAATGTGGTATTGTGAAAAATAAAAATTTCATGACAATAAATAAATAAATAATAAAAATAATAAAATTCTCAATGATGGTAAATTCATAATAGCCAATACAACTAAAATATAAAAGGCAAATATAAAATAGATTGATGGGAAAAGATTAAAAAAATAGCTATTTGAAAAGAAAATAGGTTAGGTTAATAAAAAGTAGGAACGAAATTGATTTATAAAAAATATATACACATAAATAACAATTATGAAATGAGATTTTTGGTTTAAAGAGAGATAGTGTTTAGGTAAAATGGAAAATTCATACAGCAAAAATAAATAAATACTTAAATGAAAAAAATAAAATAAAAAATATAGATAGATAAAAAATAATAAATATAACATATTTATCCGTGATATTACAAAGAAGAACAATAAAAAGAAATTTAAAAGAAATAACAAAAGAGTTGTAAGAAGATTAAGAAACAAATATTGAAATTTAAGAGCGTATTGCACATCATTCTTGTATTGTTAAATGTCATGGCATATAGTATGGTGTACACGAAACAAAGCCTCGATGATGGAACTTTTTGAAAGAGCGTGAGAAGGCTAGTTCCTTTAGAAAATTTTCTAGGTGAAAGGATGCCTTTGAGCCCCACCAATACGATGGAAGGGTTCAAAGAAATATCTTTAATAAAAAGCTTTTGCTTGTTTTAGAATTTGCATTCATGAAAATACTATTTTTACTTGCAAACGACTACCCTGATGATGTGATTTACCTAGTAAACTTGTAAAAGTAAGTTTCTTAAGTATTTCCCTATATGAGAGAATACCCTAGATCCTATCAATATGATAAACGGATTCGAAAAGTACACTCAATAAAAGGTTTCAATAAAAGGTTTGTGTTTGGCATTATCTCGATTTTATGCCATGCATTTCACAATTGCATCACATGCATGTTAAACTCGTAAAAATAAAATAAAATATTCCAATAAAAGATAAATCAGATTAAGGAAACATAAGGATAACATACAATTAATTGGTACCGTTCATGGAATGGGCGTGATAGGGGTGCTAATCCTTTTCTATGCGTAATCGTACTCTTGAACCCAACTTTAAATAAAATACGTAGACTAGTTTGTTATTCTTTAGATGGACCTAAAGTCGATTTAGAATTTCATCGAATAGAACAAATGTATTAAGTGGCTAATCACACCTAAGTAAAAAAAAAAAAAGATTGGTGGCGACTCCCTAAGTTACCCCACGTCTAGCGATCGGGTTTTTGGACTGACATGTTCCAACAAATAACTGTAAAGGTTGTTCTTGTGATAAGGAAAAGAAGTGTTGTAAATAAGTAAAGGATGTACTGAAGGTAGTGGAAAGGAAGATCAAAGTAGTTCCTGAAGTACTCAGTGTTGTGACATGACGAAGAGAACAATAAAAGAATTAAAGGGTAAAAGAGAGTTAGAGAAAGAACACTTATACTTCAATAAAAGGTTAAAAGGAAGACATCTTAACTGTCTCCATATTTAAGCCACTAAGCTAAACTTTTCAAAACATCTAAAGATGAAAATAACCCATGAACCTTACAACTTATTCCAAGTTGTTTTCACTATTATTGATGTAAAGTAGTTATTCTGTGAGAAGTAGTTATTCTATATGAAATAGTGCTCCACTTATTATAGTTGTTCTACATGAAATAGTGCTTCACATGTTTTAATTATTTTACGTGAAGTAGTCTTTCACTTATTCTAGTTGTTTTACGTAAAATAATGTTTCACCTATTCTAATTGTTCACATTGTTCTTCATACAACATCACGCTGTAAAACAATTCTAAAGAGAATAGGTAGTAATCAAAATCTACTATTTACAATAATAATAAAAAAATATTATTATGGGAGCATGACCGTAAAAATATCTTCTCTACGAAAAGTGCATCATTTCTCTAGATCTCCACTCTTGCTCAGAGTCAAATGAGGTGTAGTTCTCAAACATATGGAAACTTACTATTCATTCAAAAGTTCAATCTTTTCTATAGCTTGCTAATTAAACATCCCCTCCAAAAGTTTTCGTATGTTATGTGGTGTTGTCTTTGAGAATAATGGCTTATTGTGTAGTTGGTGTCGGTTAGTTGATGAAACTTGTGTGCATATATTGATTAGTTGTCACTTTTCATGGGTCACTTGTTATAATCGGTGTGACAAAATAAAGAAGAACAAAGGAAAAAGGAGAAAAGCTGATTTTGGAATATTCTTCAATTTTCCTTTTTCTTCTTTATTCTGTCACACCTAAAACCTAGCTACCATTAAAACTTTAATATGATATCAAAGCTTCGTATTTGATAAATCAAATTTTCTCTTTTTCTAACATAGTATTAGAGCTATCTTACGGGCCATGCACCTTGGTTGTTGGCAGTTGTTGTTTCACATGCCTCCTGCCTTGTTTCACATGTTCCATGCGTCCACAACTCCTGTCTTCTACTCTAGTTTTCCATACATTGATGTTTTCTACCATTGCAGTTTATTTGACACATTCTCTATCATGTCATTCAACTTGTCCATCATTCACCACGTCATTCAACTTATAGTGTTTCGCCATGTCATTCAACTTGTCCATCATTCACCATGTCATTCAATTTATAGTGTTTCGCCATGTCATTCAACTCACGTCGCGTTTTGCCACGTTAGTCAACCGTCATTTTTTACCACATAACTTGCCACGTCATTCAACTCATGTCATGTTTCATCACATCATTCAATTATGTTCGTGTTTCTCCACATCACTTGCCATGTGTTTTGCCATGTCAAAACGTCGTGAAGCCTCCAATTGATTTCAAGAGCACTTTCAAGAGTTTATCTTAGTTTTCAACCTAAGTTGGCATATATACCTTACCATCTTGAGTTTGAGGAGAGTGTTAAGACAATGATATGAGTTATTTAGTTAGAGTTGTAATACAATAACATTACTTAGTTAGATTGCAACATATTATTAATTAGTATTATGCTATAATACTGTTAGTTAATTAGTTAGAATTAGATCATGACTAAGATTGAGATTAACTTTAAATATATATATATATATAACATACACAATTAATCATAATTAAGATTTATTAATATACAATTTAGATTCTCATATTTCTTTTCTAACATAATGAACCTTGGAATATAAATACCTATGAACCGTCAAATAGAGCTTGTCCTTGCGTGGATTGGACCCCTGTAGTAGAAGGAGAAATGAAATTTAGTGAAGATGAATCGGTAAGAGGTAAATCATGGCCAGTAGGGTGTGGAAGAGTGGCACGTGACCCTTTGGGAGTGGTGAGGGGTATCTTTTATGGATCATTGGGCATCCAAGATTTCAATTTTGTAGAACTTATGACGATTAGAAATGAATTACAAATGTTTACATCTTGAGTTGGTTCGAAAAACTTAATCATTGAATTGGATTCCTAAGTTACAATCTCGTGGGTGAAAAATGACTTGATGAGACCATGGATTTAGGATGGGTCAGATGTCTTTCTTATCTTATGGCAGAATGCTTTACTTAACTAGCAACTATGATACGGTTTGATGCGTGTTTCTTTTTGTAACCGACTGGGGTCAGAGCTAGGTGATTTGTAATGCCATATCTTGGGAGATAGTGGTCCTCTTTGTCTTTTTAGAACTATTTTTACAGATTTTGGTTTGTATCAATTCATTTGATACTTAATAAAATTTGATTTGACCTAATGAAAAAAAATAAATCCAAACTATTGATTTCATCAGTAAAATTTTTTACAATTACTTTGATTGAAGCAGTCAAAACATTCTCTTTGTTGTTATTATTTTAGAATTGGTACAAGTTAATGTATCTAAAATCTACCAAGATGTCTTAAACTGCTAATATAGAACTATCACGGCCGGTTTTAGGGTAAAGTCACCAAAGCAAGCTGGGGAGAAGGTAATGTATCTTGGGGGGCAAAATTTTTAAAATCTTTATTTATTATATATATTTAAAATTTTTATTTTTATTTACATTTTTTAAAAATTTTATATTTATTATATATTTTTTTAAATGATCTCCTCAAAATAATTTTTTATTTAATAAATAATATAAATAAAAAATAATAAATTGACTCCACAAACTTTATTCAATTTTATCTTTATTCTTAAGTTTTTCCCCACCTTTTTCTCTCTCTTTCTTTTCTTTTTTCTATCTTTTTGTCTTTTAATTTTTACTTTACTCTCTTTTGTGTAACTTATACTAAAACATACTCCATTCTTCAAAAAAAATTTATGAGCTTGTAAGCTTAGATAACGAATGACGGGATCACTTACCATTATTGTGTGAAATTAAAAAAAGTAAAGTTTTCTTTTATTTTTTTTATTTATATTATTTAATTATTTATATATTTAATTATTATGTGAAACCTTGTATATCGTATTTAACTATTTATATTTTATGCATTATAGTTTTATATTTAGTATTTTAAGTTTAAATAGAAATAAAATTAAAATATTAGATATTGATTACATTAATTTTTTTTTTCAAATTTGATTAAAGTATAAGTAAGTTGAAAATAATTGATAAATTCTTTATAAGAAAAAAAGGTAAATAGTCAAAATTATTCTCCTACTCTTAAGCTATTAAGCCTCAATGCTTCAACTCATAAATAAAAGTAATATGAATCAGAATGTTCAAGTTCAATCTTGAAGAAATTGTTAGTTAAGTTCAACATATTAATTTTAAAAATTTTTAACCTCTACCTTTTTGTCTTTTATTCGTCAACAAAATTTAATTAGCTCTGCCTCTCAAAGCTAAGACTTTAAGTCTCAAATTTTCATAAGTCTCATAATTTTTTAAAAATAATATAATTAATTATATTAAAAATATATAAAAATTAAGATAGTTAATAAAATATTTACTTATTCTCTCATGTATAATAAATATCTATTTTCTCTTAGTTTCACGTACCTATTAATTT